TTTAGAATAAGCTGCTTCTATAAGCAGTAATATGTATAATTTCATTTATATTTGAAAATTTTTTAAATTTAATTTACTTGAAAATGAAGTCTCTTATGCAATTTATTTATTCTTGATTTTTATCTTATTTCAAGTCATAGAATCTCTTTGACCTCATTTCATCATGAATTACGAATCACTTTGTATATTTTTAAAGATAATTCGATAAAATTTATGCACTTTTTTATTAATACACTTCTTAATACAATTATTAATACAATATTTCTTACAGTTTCTCTTATAAACATAATTTTCTCAGATTATCTAAACATTATTAGGATATTCTTTTTAATTAGATTATTTTTAATTTCATGTGTTTCACTTTTGATCATAACAAAATTGAAACGAAAGATCACATATAATTATAAATGAAATTTATTAACTTAACTAAAATGTTTAAAATTTCTCTTTATAATAATAGAAAAATAATTCAAAAAAGCTATCTGTTATAAATGATGCAGATATTAATTATAATCAAATTATACGTTATAATTATATTAATTTTTTTAATTTCAAAGAAGATTTAACAATTATATAAAAATAGGACAATTTTCGTTGAATAAACATTCATAAATCCATAGAAATAGAATTTTGCTTTATAATTGCTTTATAATAGGTATATTAAAATTGAAAGAATTGACCATTGTCATATTATAGTAATGGAGAAATTGTATGAAAGATTAACGAGGATCATAAATCATTCGTTATAAATATTACAGAGTTTCATAAATATTTCTAGAGTTCAAACACGAGTCATATTGTAGATTCTTTGATCTTTATTATTCAAGAATTTTTAATCATTTTCTTACCTATCTTATATTTTTTTATTTTATTTTTTCTTAACTATTTTTCTTTTTTTTTTTTTAGAATTTATTAATATCTTATTTTTATTTATAGAATTCCATAGAAGAATTTTATCGATAAAAAATTCCAATATTATTCCAATATTCAATATTGATATCCATTCCAACTGTAATGAAATTTTTAAAAAAATATTTAATCTACATATATATTTTTTATCAATAACCATCTATATTTAAAAGATGAGAACTTCAAACATATTTGGGAATAAAACATATTTTTCTCAATGGATATCACGGATATTGTTTGATCTGTTATTGAAATTATTGTTTTAAAATATTCATTTGCTTAGATCGTCTTTATGCGATTTATATATTTTTTATCATAATTAAATTTTTCTCTATCGCTTTTCTATCATGCGACTATAATATAAAACATCGCAAAGATATTTCTTTTTGCTTTTTCTTCGAATTTAAAAATCGTTTCAGTTCTAAAGAAACGTTCATCTTCATGAAAAAAAAATAACAAAAACCTCGCCGGAAGCAATTATAAAATCTAAAGATACAAAGTCTTTAAGAAATATTTTGCACTTTATAATAATAAATAAAAAGGAAGAGAAAAAAAGAGAATTCTTGATTCTCTCTTGTCTGAAATAAAATAGTTCAAATAGTTCGCCCCAAGATAGCGAGTTTTGATTGAATTTTCACACGAATTTTCTCAAATACAAAAAATTTTAACAGAGATTTAGATGAGGCTTAATAACGATATTAAATGATGAAACAAGGTAGAATTTGATCGTTTTAAGATATCTAAAGAAGATCAAAAGATTTCGCTCAGAAATTCTAGAAGGATCTTCAAAGAAGGATCTTCAAGGTCATATTTGCTAAACTTGGCTAAGATCAATCTGTTTCCATGCTTCTATACTCGTATATTCGCCTAATTTTCGATAACTTTCCTATCTAAAGTGAAGTAACGATAAACAAGTGATGTATAATTCTATCCGACTATTAGACAAGTTCATGAGTATGTTTAGAGAATGATATTAGAAGTTATGCAAGATTAAACGTAATTTCAGCCAACGAAAATCGATTGTGAAGCATAGAAATAGATAGATATCAATGGTAAATAATTTTTTATTGAAGGTAATTGATAAAAAGTTATAGATTTTGAAATGGATGCAGATAAAAATTTGCAAAGATATTTAGATCAGAAAAAATTTTCACAGAAAATCAAGATTGATGTATGATGTATGATAGGGAAATTTTATCGATTTTTGTGTGTATTTTAAAAATAATTACGAATTTTTATGCGAATTTATATTTTTATAAATATAAAATAATACTATATTTAAATATTACAATAAATATTATTTACTTTGGATATTTTATATAATTTTGCATATTTTTATTATATATATTGCAATACATTTAAATATCTATGAATCTATAAACGTATGCGATTTATAGTATATGAAATGTAAATATGAAATATAAATTAAACATTCTGGAAAATTTTGGAATAATTTTTAGAATAATTCAACTTTTAATAAAATACATATTTAAAATTTTAATAATATATAAATAGATTTATTATGAAAATTATTTTTCAGAGCATATAATGATAGATAATGAAAATCTATCAAAAAGTATATTTAAAGAAATTCGATATGTGTATAATTAATTGTTAGATTTGATATTAAAATTATTTTTTTGCACGTAAAAATCTTATCAATAGTAATTTCACGATGAATGAAAATGGTGAAAAATTAAAATGTTTCGAATTTCCACTTGTTTCCAACAAAATTATTATTATCTTTTTCATTTTAATATCTTTTAATATTTTTTTATAAAGTTTGTATCTATTTAATTTATTTCACAATTTATAAAAATAAAACATTTAAACATTTAGATTAATATAAAAATATACCAAAATTCCTAAACTTGTCCAGTGAACAATCACATTAATAATTTGCCTATATTTGTTCTAATCGCCAATTCCTTGTTATTATCATCATCACGATATATTTTTACACTCTATCTTTTAATACTCGGTATCAACAAGTTAAGCGTTTACTTTATGTCTATCTTAAAATGGATAACGTTAAAGAGATACGCAGTGCAGCAGTACGCAACATTTCTAGCGTACCATTTCGTTGGAAATAACGACACCATTTCTAGAATACCAATTCCTGTATATTCAATGTTTTCAAATGAATGAATATTCATGTGAAAAAGAAGCAAAATATAAATTCAAACTAACGTTTAAACGTGAAAGGATATGTAATCTGAAGAAATTCGAAGAAAGTTTTCCTTTTTTCTTCTTTTATTTCAAAGAACACATTCCATCGACACAATGACTTACGCCTCGAAATAGAAAACTTATTGTTGCATTTCGTCAAAAATACATCCTGCCAACTATCCTCCACTCGTGACCCGATCCTGGCCAAACTCCAGATTCGACATGACCCCGGATTGACCCCCCCTATTTTGGATATTTGCCAATCCCGCCAATCCGTTCATTTGTGATGGGGATCCGTGTAAAATAAATTCCATTTGATTGCGAATATTCGATGAACACCTGAGAAAATTTCTATTCCAATGAAATTTGATTGATCAATCGATTTTTTTTTAGCAGTGAAGAGTTGTTAGAATCAATCGTTTATTAAATTGGAGTGAGACGAAATAAGTACGTGACTAGCCTAAAGATTTCGAACGTATGTGACTGAATATTTTTCATTAAATGTTGTTTAACTTTTAATAATTCTTAAGTTTTATTGATTTGAATTTTATACAACCTTTATTCTGTAATTAATCAATCTATATCAAAATTTTAACTAAATTTATATCCTTTTTGAATAATGAATAAATTTATTACTATATTATATATCAACAGAATTTTGATAAAAACAGTCTTGATTATTTAGATTAAGTATTAAATATTAACAGATTTTATTTCAACAGTGATACATCTCATTAGAGTTTGATGAGATCATCTAATATTGATTTGAGTTATATCTTTCCACCTTGTTGAAGATAAAGACTCTCACAATTGTGTATAATTTTGAAACACTGTTGAAACACGTGTGAATGTAGTTGTAAAGAATATCCGGTGCATAATCGAGAGTCAAAATTGATAGGAATAGAGTTATCAGACAAAATGATTGAGACACTTCGAAATTGGTATAACGATTGGTACAGGATGCAATTACGATGTTCATATACCGATCGATACGTCTCATCAGATAACGATTCGTAGAGTCACGATTTGCCAATTGTAGGACAAATGAAACAACGTTTCTAATGTTTACTGTTCCGTCGTAAACACACGCTAATTTAACGCAAACAGGCAAGGAACCAACCAAGAGAAACAAGAGAACCATAAGGTTTCTATATTTATACGCTGTATTTCTAATAGAATACTTACCTTTCAAGAAACTGTAAAAGAGAAGATAAAAAAGAAATAGGAAAGGAAAGAAAAGCAGAAACCTTCGTGCAGTATGTAAGAAAACATTGATAAAATGTCGTGTGGATAAAGCTGGTCTCCATGGTGATTAATTATTGTTTGCGTTGTATTAACCTCAATTTGTGTGTGTGTGTGTGTTTTAGGAGACATGGTGCAAAAGGTGGTGGCACTTTTCGCAGAGAAATCTTTCTACGACGAGGAGTTGCTTTGCTCCGAATTTAAGTCCTATTTTTGCGAAAGGAATGGAGAATATATGCACGAAGGAAAAAAAATCGAAATCAACGAAGGATGACAAAGCGGAGAAGCATTTGGTTTTAGATGAAACAGATGGCGGTAAGTTATTAGAGTTATAAAAATTTTCTGATAGAAATATAAAATATTTTTATTTCGAGAATTTGAAATAAATTATTAAATCGGAACAATAATCTTTAATATAAATGTGATTCGATATTAAATGGCAAGAAATTAAGGAACAGATAATTTCTACATATTAATTTAATGATAAACTCCATATATGATTTATCGACCAATTATTATCTTTTGATGAAAATGAAATAATTGCATTTCAAGTTATTCAAAGTCTCTATGATCTCGTTACTTGATCAATATATACATATTTCATTTTAAACATACTTTATTCAACATTCAACTTGACGAAATAAGCTAATGCGTTAATAAGGATAAAGTGCTTAGGAAAATATTTTCATTGATATTTTTATTTCATAATTTTAAAACAATTTATAATCTTAAAACAATTTAACGAATAGATTGATACAGAACTTCCTTATGTACATTTCCATCTCCACAATTCTCAAATGAAACATAATTCTGTAAGATCATCGCGATTCTCTAATTATCGAAACTTTAATGCTCTATCAAAATATTCAAGTTGCTCGTTGCTCGAAGAAACCTCGAATGATAATTGTCTGTACAATTGTCGTCGATTATTATCATAACGACGAATAAAGTATTCTCAAACGAATTGATCGAGAGTTGTTACAAAGGTAAGAAAATTCGAACGACTGAAGCAATATGCAGAATTCCTCCTGAACTCCTCGTTTAAGAATACCAAAAACTTTTACGAAAGTATCACTACCATCACGTACTAACAGAATTATCGATTCTCCTTTGGCAATGTTCCCTGTACCAAGATGGAATATATTACAAAAAAAAAAGAAAGAAAAGAAAAAACTAATTCCTTCAAGAAGTCTCCAAACGTTGGCTCTCCGTTCCATTCAAACTGTCCTCGAGTACCTCAAACTCTTCGAACTCCATTTTACCGAAATCATCGGTTGCTCTCCAATTACTTTCATTCACCTGCCACCTGGTCAGAGCACTGCCAATGAATCGGCTAGCGTAATCAGATTTAGCATCGTCTAGATTACCCAGCTTGAAGTCAGCCTTGAAACACTTCGTCTCTTTGCCCTCTTCCTTTTTAGGCTCCAAACCGATCACTACCGGGGGTTCCCTTTTGACTTCTGTTTCTGTCACTCTACTGCTTTCATCTTTCACAACTTTGGCCTCACTTTCTTGCTTGTCAAGCGTGGTAATCTCTATGCTGGGAGTCTCTGCTATCGTATATTGGCTCAGGTCAACCGTTTTCTCTCGAGTTCGTTGTCTCAGATGATTCTCCACCAGTCGACCTGTAAGCTCCAATCTGCTGTCACAGGAATTGCTCTTTACCAGGCGGAATTTTACATAATCATTTGAACTGTTAACACACTTGAACCTGTTTTCAACCATCGGAGATATCAATGGCCCGTTGCTAGAGTTCACTACCTTGCCACCATAATAAGTGACCGAGGTACCACATTCCCGGATCCTTTTAAGCACATCTTGGGATACGTAGTGACTCGGTCCGTTTGTGGACTCGCTGATCTCATCCTCGTGGCAATCCACTTCCTCGTCCTCCGAAGAAATGCATTGCACCCCGCTTCCAGGATCGGTGTCAGGATAATCGCTAGACACTCCAGAGCTCACGCTACCAGTGTCCCAATTGTGATGATGATGGTGATGATTGTAACGATTCATTTTGTTTTTAGAGAAGGTCGAGTCGCTCGGAGACGTGTGACCGCTTCTGGCCTCGAAACTTTGCGCCAAGATTCTGGTCTTCGACTCGCAACGAGGGCTGTCCAACTCGTCTTTGCATTCCACCATGGATGCGTTTGAGGAAGTGGATTTCTCCATATTCTCAAATAGTTTCGTAAGATCCTTCGCTCGGCTGGAACATCTGTAACGAACAGGATATTTGTTATTTCGTTATTTAATTCTATCGAGGTGAATAATATAAAGTTATATTATAAAATGTTTACGTGTGATGACATGTGTACAAGTTGGCAAAAGTTAAATTGAAATATACTAAAGCAAGAGAAAATTCAAATGTTAGAAAAAGTTAAATAATTCAATGAAACTAACTTCTTTCCTTAAGTTCTGCCAGTGACACGTTAATATTTTCCTCGTTAAGAAACGAAATTAAATTGAAAAGAAAATGGATGTTCTACCTGGTTCCCTCGTCCACCTTTTCAGATATTTCGTCAAAATGGCTATCGTCGATGGTACTTAAATCTTTCATGCTCGCACTTTTCCTACTCCTACAATCCCTGGAGAATCCAGAATTCGAGTTGTTTTTCAATTTCAATGTGTTCTCGAACATACGCCTGACATTTTTCACAGTGTCTGGATCCGGAAGTTCCTCGTCGATGAGCTCACGATTCACCCTAATAGGATGATAGAAGAAATGCTTCTTGATAGACGATTGCTTCGGACTTTTAGAATTGTCCCCATCCGCACTTTCACAATTTCTCTCTCTATTCTCCGCATCTGCTTTTTTCTGTATCGCCCCAGCTATCTTGCAACTTGGCTCCGATTTGGCCTTTCCCGTAGCGGTGGACTTGCGCTCTATCGTTTCTGCACGCACCGGCTCAATGATCACCACGTTATTATCCAGCAATAACTCTTGGAAAGAATATTCTCGCAAATATTGCATCAATCCTTCGTACGTGACATCGCCACGAGTGCTGCTGTACATGTTTTTGCTGAACATATTCGATTTGACGATCTTGTAACGCACATGATCGAATTCCTGCTCGTCGTCCAGGTGACATTCTATCGAATCCACGCAGCTCACCGATCTGGTTAAATTGCCGTGCATGTTCTTACTATCTTTATCCTTCGACGACGATCCCTTAGCCACGGACCCGTGATCCACGTCAATTCCATCGTCCACGGATCTCCTTCGTGTGTCGCTTCCGGACTCCGATCCTAATCCCAAATCTGAGCTTTCAGACCTCGCCTCGAAACCTAAAGTACCTTTTACCACGCTACACGCCTTCCCGATGATGTTCGACGTCTCTTTGACGATTCTCTCGAATCTACCCTCGCACTGTTTCCCTTTCGAGCCTTCTTTCTGAGAGCTCTTCTGCTCGAAAAAGTTTTTCGTGTTTTCTACGCTCGTATTTGCCTCGAGCTCCTCCTGATTCACGACCTGAAACGGAAGGAATTACATTCGTTTCTTCACGATACTTTCTAATATTTCGTATGATGATAAAAATAATGATAAAATTTTTATTGAATCTTTAACTTTTCTTTAACTAAGATAGATATAGAATCTCGACAGTTTATTAGGCAACAGTTTGGTCATAAGAAAATATAAAAAAAATGGAGGATTGCTCACCTGTATACCGTTCAAAGTCCTATCGATATCTTCTTTTTCATTTCTCTTATTTGTACAATCGTCTGATTTTTTCCCATTAATCTGAAACTTCATATTCTTCTGCCCATCGGGAATAATAACGGGATCGATCTGAGCAGGGAGACTCTTGTGTCGTCTCTTAGTCACATCATTATCGATGACTTTTAACACCTGCGGCCTTCGCGACATGTCCTCTTGCTCTTCGTTATCGGAGATCCAAATCGATTTGTAATCTTCTGCCTCCTCGACCTTTTGATCGTCCTCCTGATTTTCGCAAGATTTTAGCTCGTCATCGAATCTGTGTTTATCCTCGTTAGTATTCGAGCACGTCGATCGTCGATCCAGGAGTTCGTTTCGATGACAAGGAACAAAATCCTTATCGTCTTCGGAATCCTCTTGAACCCCAGGACACAATTTCTTTTTGATGCGTTCAGATGATAAATTCTCTCCTGATCGGTGAGACAAAATTTCTGAATTTTTCCTTTGATACGAACAATTTTCATGAATTTCTCGAGAATTGTCTTCCTCTTCTTTAATACTAGTTTCTTTACATTTTTCCTCGTCGGTGACGTTACTCCTCGTAGAGGATCTCTCTTCTACGATTCGAGAATTTAAATATTCGAGAGATTTTAAACTCGAGTTGTTTCTTTGGTCAAATTTGTTATTGCGCGCGTCTTTCTCGTCGAATTCTAAACGAACGTTTGATAAAGGTAATAGATTCAAAACATCGAAATACTCCAACTCGCCATCGTCCTCGAAAAGGATGCTATCCAGACTCCGGTGTTCCTTTCGTTTACGTTTTACCTGAGAAAGAAAATAATATTCCGTGAAATATTCTGAGAGAACGCTTCGTGTTCAGTACGTATATACTGTTGTTCTGAAATAAGCAACAATCGTCTAGCAAACAAGAAATACTAATGTTAATAATTTCTTTGTTTGAAATTCACCTGCAAAGTGACCCAGAAAAACGAACGAGAGACTCAAAAATGAGAAAAGCATAAATTTTCACATCTGTTCAGAATTATTTACCATGAGATCTATTCTATTCTTTTCTAAAAAATAACATTGTTGTTTGGTCTATGGATTACTACTATGATGTACCAGTATTTCGAGCCCCTCGTTCATTCTTCGTGTCTCCTCTCCTCTTCAAAGGAACAAAAACAAGCCGAACGGTATACTGTTGAAAAGAATTCCCACGAAAGAAATACGGGTCTGACTGGTCAGAATGAGGGGAACTTGTTCTTCTTCACACTTCGTGTTACTTGTCAATATGAACATATTTAATTCGATTGCACAAGAGAGGGAAGCATTTTCAATAGTTAAATAATATACAAATAATGTATAAATTGAACGTATTAATTGTACGTAATTTATGTTGATATTATATCGAAATAATTAATAATTTCGAAAATATTTCAACTTCCAATTTTAAGCGAGTTAAGTATCGTATGATTTGACAAAAATAATTATGTTCTTTTTTAAAATCCTTTTATTCACACAATTTTGAATATTTAAGAAAAATTGTACTGTAGTATATGTGTCAAGAGGTTAAACTCTCCCAAAGGTTGGGATAGGTATCTTATAAAGGATCCCTCCTGTCTCTCTCTCATCCCGTGAGACTTCTTTCTAGCAGTGAACAGTAAGCAAATAGTCGATTTCAACCGACTATATTTACTTATTTCGGAACAATATTGTAATTATTATACCACTTTTGTTTACCATTCCGTATATATATATACTGTAATATTATATAATATAAATATTTACTAATTTATAATATTTATTAGCTATATTGATTTAATTAAAATTTACAGTATGGCGATATTTTATATGTGCGATTCTTTAAATGTCAAAAAAAATCAAATTCTTTAAATATCAAAGCAATTACAGGCCTAAAAATGTTTGATTAATAAAACTAAATCTACAGTATACGAAATTTAAACGAAATTTCAACAAAATTGGGTAACAAAATTAACGATAAATACCTTGATTTTAAAATATTGATAATCTATTATTTTTATAAATTAAATGTATAAGATTTGTATAAGATTATTATTCGAGTATTATTGAACTTTCCATATTTACAAAATACAAAATATCTTAAGTAAACATATCTCTTCAATATTTCATATGCCTATTTAAAATTCTTATGATTCTGTGAATATCAATTCTTATTTTACAATTGCATAGATATTTTATTTGATTTTCGAGATAAACATAACGATTCTTTTCAAATACCATACGAAATAATGAAATAATGAAATTCGTATAGATGTGTGCAACTAATGATACATGTATTTACTATCTGAGTTTCAGAGCAATTTACATTATCAGCCAGAAGATTAATTAGAAGAATTTTGTGAAGCAAATAATCAATACATAATAATATAATATTACGTTATATACTATTATATATAATATAATATTAAAATTAAAAGTATAATTCAAAAAATCAAATATTCCACTTACTCGAAATATTTAACAAAGCATTAAACATCTCATTTTTCAAATTTTAAAAGAAATTTATATGTAGCGCCATAAAAATATTGTCATAATGATTAAATGAGACATAACAAAAAAAAAATGAAGAATAAAAAAATAAATAAAAAATCTCATAGAATAATTTCATTCTTCGCAATAAAATTCAAATTATTTAGATGAATTATATAAAAGATTTGACAAATATTTAATATAAATGGAAAATTTACTTGAGTATAGATACAATCGATGCTGCGATTTCCCTCGATGGGCCAGCCGTCTTCCACAATATCCACTAAGCCGCTAACAGTGTCCAATGATTGTATACTGCGATAACGTCTCGGCGATTCGGGCCAGTCGAGGATGTTCAATCGGTCAGGATCAGTCCGATTACCTCGAGTGTAGTGCAAAGGATCTGGAAACGATTCGGACGGTATCGAGTGTAGACCGCAAGCAGATCGGGAATGATAAGATTTTGTTCGTTAAATCGTTCGTAAGAATCCGAGAGGTGCTGTTGACTCTTGCACAGTCTGAAATATAAATGTAGAAAGGATTGAAAATAAGGAATTGGAAAATGATCGAATCGGAACGTGTAATTGTATTGTATTTAGATCGTGCATAAGTAATAATCAAGAATAATTATCTCGACACGAATGAAAGTTGAAAAATTTGTACAATTTAAAAATCTTTTCGAGCGTTTCGTGAATTAAGAATTGAGATATGATGAAATTTGTATTCGTTAAAATGCGAGAATTATTAACCTTGAGTGAAGATGACGTCAATTTGTGGTATCTATCTTGAAACAAGAAAATTTATATTTTTTTATTTATATAATTATTTTGATCGAATTTTTATCGAATCGTAATATTTTATTAAAATATAATAAAATAATTATATTATTAACGATAAAAATAAAATTTGCGGCTTTTGATTCACTTTAATTCTCTTCAAATATATGTCAAGAATTTATATAAATATGAATAAATAATAAATATTCATGATTAGATTGCAATAAAAAGTAAAAATAAGTAATCGATAAAAAAGAGAAATAATTCGGTCCTTGTAACAGTTTATGCAGACTTTCCTAATGCAAAGATATCTAAATATAGATATAAAAAATATTATGTTTTCTTCATAATAAATAAAATTTACTCTACAAGTCTATTTAGAATAAAGTATATGTTAATAAAATATTTTAAATAATTACTACTTTGCATTATTTTTTTCATAAAAATATAAAATATTCATAATCAAAATAAAAATTTTTTAAATAAATTCAATTGTTTTGCGTTTCACATAAAATTTTCACAATTCCCAAAATATTTATTCGAAATCAAATTATTCACAGTATCATTTGATGGTATCGTTTCCACGTCATCACTTCAATCAGTTAAAGGTTAAAAGATTCGGAACGACTATAATTGGTAATCATATTATTAATGCGGATTAACGTATCGAATCGTCAACAACCAACCATGAATCATAAAAGAACAAAACATTTCTTCGTCATGTAATTTGATTTCGAAAATCATTCGAAATTGCAAACAAATTTTAATAATAATATTTTGAAAACGTTCGAAATAACAGATAAATTAGCAGATAAATAAATTAATTTGTAATTAATTGAAATTAAACAATAGGATATTAAATATTCAATTTACGAAATGTACAATCCATTTAATTACAGGTCCAGAATTTGATACAAAACAACTGCGTTTCGGTTAAATCGGCTGTTAATTAGGATCACGATTATTGAATATTTATAGCATTCGCATCAATTATTGAAAAAATAATAGTGAAAAAAATCTGTTAAAAATCCAAATCAATACTTTTTAAATCGGAAAGATTTTCCATCCGTTTAAAATTATCTAAGAATCTTTGATATTTCGATCACGTCGTGATAAGAAGTAAGAATGCATATTTATAATTTTTTATTATTATAATTACGACAATTATCTCATGAATGAGCTCATGAGTTTTATACAGAAGAAAATTAAAAAAAAAGCATCCATTTCGATTCACCTGTCCTTCAAAGAGTTTCGATCAATCAGCTTGGCTCGCGGGATCAATTGATGCCTCCTGGGCAAATCGAAGGTCGATTGCCCGAGTCTGAAATGATGCGTCCCACGATCGTGTCGAGATTCGTCCTCGGATATAACCGCAAGGCTCCTTGTTCGTTTCAAAAGCTTCCTGCGGTCCTGCGTGGACTGCGTCAAATTGGCCTCGTGTCGTCCCCCTTCTCTGCAATCAATCGAATCGAATTTAATTTAATTTTTCGGGAAGAGGCGACGATTTTTTTCATTCAATGACACGAGAAGAATTCCAATCGATTTGAAATGATTTTAAATATAACGAAATATCCAACGATAATTACATTCAATTTATCAAATTTGCAGTCTGGAGATTGCAATTTATATTTTGTATAACATATTTTTTTCCTCGTTTTGAAAATGAATTTGTTGAATTCGTCAAGATTTAATTAATTTTTATTCAAATTCTATTTGTTGGGAAACGATGAAAATAACATGTATTCCATTCGTTTCGAAGATTCAATAATTACCTTAAATTAGTTCAATTTGTAATATTGTCATCGTAAAAATTTCTATTCAATAAATTTTATTCACCGTTTATATCAATAAATAAAATAATGTGGATATATATTAATTCCAAAATTCTTATCAAGATATCTCTAATAAAACGAAATCTCAAACCAATTCTATTAACAATCAGTATCATTATTACTCTATTCCTTAGACCATTAATCTAAACCATTAATCCCATTCTTCCATTCTTAATGATTATTCTTTCTTCCATTCTTAATGATTATGAGATAAAATATATCACGTATACACGTGATACTTCGAGACTTATTATTCCAAAAAGCAAGAAATACTCCGTATTATAATCGTATTACTCGCATATGTATTACTAGTCGGCATATATATCAATCAATACCGTGTATCAATAATGAATGGAGCCATGTCGTCTTGAGCCCCTTTGTGTATACACAAGACGTTAACACAAATACGCTTGATACGCTACCTCCTATGGATTTAATAATCCTTTCGTGGAAATCGCTAAAATACGTATAATACGTGTAAAGGTATAAAGAGCATGAGCAAACATCACGTAGAAGGTCGTACGTGAAAATTTCTCATCTCGTACATAATAGAAGCGAATTAAATTGAATAACAGGCTTGTATGTATTTGTTTACTTAAATTTATAAACTTTATCGAAGAAAGATATCGTGTACAATGATATTTTTTTATGTTCGTGCAAGGATCGCTTGTTCCTTTGTTATTATATCGAACACGATTCTCTGTTCAATCATGATCCGCACAAAAAATTCACTCAAAGTATATATTTTGCTTTACGTGATCCTTTGTCAAAATCATCTCGCCGTGTCGGAGATAAGCTTTTTCATATGACCTAGTATTAGAATCGTGAAATTGTAAAGCACGTTATATATAAATATTCTTCTTTCTTTTAGTGAAAGAAGAAAATTTCGTATTTTTCATTTGCTTGCGTTTATTCGTTAATGGAATAAAATTAAATTATAATAATATTAATTTTTTTGAATAATAAGCTTCGCATAATTCCATTATTTTTGTTAGTGAATTAATTAAAATTTTTTATTATAAATATTCTCTCGATTATACTAATTTTCCTTTGAATCTGACATACAATATATATTGTACAAAATATATATGTAATATAATGATATCGAATTCAATGATATATTTATATATAGCTTAAAAAGATTATATTCTTTATCTTCAATTTATTACGAAAAATTTCTCATGAAAAACTATTTTTTGTTTAATAATACTATTTCATAAAATCAATACATCATCATCACATAAGATGTTAATATATTCGAATTTCCATTTTTGATTGGATTGATTCTACAAACTAAAACAATACAAAAGTTGATATGCAAAAATGTTTGAGGCTTATTTGTTAAATTATAAATAATTTAAATTTTACTTAAACGAAATAAAAAACAGTAACTTTAATTGTTTATATGGCGTCCCTTGAATATATTAACGTCTTATATACATTTTTAAAAATCTGATTTTGGTAAAAATTTTGTTTATATAAAGCATAATGGAAATACATTTAAATTACAATTTATTTTTCGACGGAAAATCTCTTTAAGTACGAAAAATCAATCCTCAAATTTTTATTATTTTTTTATGTTTTACGTAATTTCAACTGATAATACTTTTTTATAATAAAGTAATAAAAAACATTAAAATATAAGTATAAGTGTAAAACTTGAAATATTTTATAATTTAATATTTCACTTTCTTATACTTTCTCTACAAAGTTATATTTAAAAATACTCAAACTTTTAGAGTTGATTTTGTTCTTACCCTTGAAATGATATTCCATTAATAAAAAAAATTATTCTATATATATAATTCATCATAATGATCTACATAATATTTTGTATAAAACTGAATTATTATTGATTTTGATAATATAACTTATTATAATTAAATTCGTGTAAAATAATGAATACTACAGCGACATAATATTTAAAATGACAGGATGAAGAGTAAATAAGAATGATAATTAAATTAAATTTACGAAATTAGTATACAGAGAAGAAGGATTGCGAAAATAAAAGATCTCCTATATAAATCAACGAGCAGATAAATACGATCCAGCGTTATTAATTAAATCTCGTTACATCTATCCCTTCGTTTAATGTGTATGTTATTTTCGTAGATATCGATTATTTAAGCTTGATCTAGCACACGTCTACGTCGATCTAATTACACAAGTCTCTGACGATCACGATCATGGTCCCCAATGATTCGTTTCATCAGGTATCAATACATTATTGTACCTTTATAATATATTGCTATGAAACTGCTGGTACATTTACAATGGTCATAATAAATGAAGTCGTCACGCAACGTTCACTTATTTGAAAACTGGACGAAACCACGCCTTTATGGTTCTACTTGTTCGGTCAGCGTTGATAGAAATTAGAAGGCCTGAATCTGTCTCCTTGTACTATTTCAAAAGAAGCTTATAAGGATTTATATTACAATGTTTTTAATGATACTTTGTTATACCTATTTGTTACATTCAAATTTTTATTAAATGACATAAAATTTTATACTAGAAAACATTTATACTACGACTTGTTATTACGTCTTTTTAATTGTTAAAATAATGGTTTTTTAATATTTAAAATTAATATTAATTTTCATAGTTTATATTTAGAATAAATAAAATGTGAATAAATATAAATAAGATAAGAATATTTAAACGTTTTAATTACAAAACAAAGTTAAGTTAAGTTAACATTTATTAATCGAAAATATTATAAAAAGAAACATTATTATAAGCGTAGATATATTCAATAGATATTATAAGTATTTAAAAGTTAGCAAACATACAGATCTATGAGAGTCTAAATCTATTATTATTAAACATACTTTTCTATGTGTAATAATCGCATAATTTGACTACATATTAATAATACCATGATAATAATAATTTCCTTTAATAAAT